GACTGCAGAAGTTCTCTTGAATCATTTTGCAAGGGGAATGGATCCACTCTCTTCCGTCATGGCTCCAAGGGTCTATCATCAGGTAATTTAACAAATTATTGAGACGTGTACGCTAAACGGAATCTCAACTAAAACTACAAATCTGAAACATTTCTGTGTAAGCAGCTATTACCTAATGTGGTTCGTTATGAAAATTGGACGTCCGTGACTGGCGATCACTTTGAAGTTCCTACTCAAATCAGGAAATCCCTACAAAAGAAGGGCCATATCCTAGAGCCCCTTACTTCTGGGGCTATTTGCCAGTTTATAGTTCATAAGGCTTGGACGGAAAATGAAGGTACTCCGGAGATTGTGGCAGTGAGCGATCCAAGAAAAGGCGGGGTTCCGGCTGGTTTCTAAAACTGCAAACTGGTGCTATGGAAGCGATCGAGGCTAGTTATTGTTCTTGTTCCAACGCTAGTCTACTCCCCCTTTAACAATGTAGTTGAAACTATTGGTTATTTCTTATAGCTAGTGACTGATTCACAAGTTTTCTACTCTACGTAGTTCATGTTGGTTCTTCCTTTGCAATGGATATGCTAACAGAAAATTTTCCGTCACCTTCGAAAAGGCGACGAAGGAAGTTATGCACGATTGACTGGCAATTTGTGCGTTGCAGACTCCGCCGTGTCAAGGATATTGATAGCCGGCCACTGTCATTGGTGATGGAAATTTTTTCCAGTCGCCGGAAAATTTCAAGTCACTGTTCAACTCTTACATAAAAATGAGCAATATTGTGCGAAATTATAGTTTTTTTTACACGTATACACAATAAAATTGGAAAACTTATCTGAAAATTTATCACTTGACATGTTTTTTTGAAAGTCATTTTTTTAGTCTTCAAACTTAACAATATGTTCGTTCATTTTCATTGACGCCACCTATTTTTTCTTTGAATTTAGGGGTATATAAGAAACTTCATCACACATCAGTAACATCACTAAAAATGAATTAAAAAAAAAAGAAATGAGAGAGAAAAAAAAAACCCTAAAAAAATCTATTATTCTTGTGTAAGAAAATTGAATACATTAGGATTTTTTTTTCGTAGTTTAGTTTGTGATTTGTTAGTTGTTTAAGTGCAGCTCGATTTCCTACCAACTTTGAAATCACATTGCCTAACATTTACAAGTTGCTAAAGTTCAACCATTTTCATTTAGTATTTTTATAGTTCAAATTTCATTTTGTTTTAAGTTTTTTATATTCATTTATAAAATTTTATTTGTTTTTTTAGCTTCTTCTATTGTTTTTTTAAGTTTTATGTTTAATTTTCTAATATACCCCAAATTTATCCAAAAACCAGAACAGATAAGCAGAAATAAGACACAAATGCTTTATTACAAATGAATAACCGAAACACTTGGAATTACCAGTGTTATCTACACAACACATCTTCTGTGGCAGATAAATTAAACCCGATATGGTTAAGGCCAAAAGGATGAATTTTTAGATGCCACAAAAACCTTATGGATTGTCGACGTGAACCCAATGGCCGGACTTGGGAAGAACATGAACTGAAACCTTCCCCTCCGATCCATCAGCTTCACGAGTGGCAAGGTTTTCGAATTCTTGTTCGTTGATATCAAACGATAGACATAAAGTATGATGAAACATCATGGTAAACGTTTCGCCCAGAAAAAAAAAAAAAAAAAACATAAAGTATGATTAACACAGCCTCACTCATTCCATGAAGGTGCTGATGACAGCCATAATAGTAGAACGATAATGAAGAAATCTCTACTCCACGGTGCATCTTGCGGCGGATCAAAGGGATGAAATCCTTGGTGCCACAATCTCAAGAAGACCTTTTGGATTGTCCACGTGAACCCAGTGGCCAGACTTGGGAAGAACGTGAACTGAAACCTTTCCCTCTGATCCATTGGCTTCCCTATTGGCAAGGCTTCCAAGCCGTTGAACCACATCGGGGTCCCAACGATCACTGTTCTCAGCACGCACAACATCTATTGCCATTTCTTTTGGTGGGTGCTCCAACAGAGGCCAATAAGACTTCTCCCTGATATTTTGGATTCATAGAAAGTGTGAAAGGTAAGGGGGAGGGAAGGTAAAAAATATCATTCTTTCTACTTCCAAGAACTGATATCAAAACAATAAGATATTTACTGGTAAGACTTGAACATCTGGACAGCACCATCAAGATTGAACGCCCATGTCTCGTGATCTCCCTGTTTCTTGAGGTTGGTGCCTATCCATTCTGACAATGACTTTGAGAACCCAAGTTCAATCATATGATTCACAAGCCACCTGAAGCCAAGAACCAAATTCATCACATAAAGATTTGGAATTTGGAAACACGAATGTCATGTGACATTATGACAATTTTGTAACGCCATTATGTAACAAGTTTTGAAGCAAAAACAACGGTTTCGTCATGCATTTATGTAGACTCTTGTAATCAGAGTAAAGCTAGACAGAATCCAGAGCTCTTGCTTGAGTGAAGCAATTTGAGAGTAGAGCAGGCATTGTATGTGCCAACATTACTAATTAACATCATCCTTTTAATGGTAAACACTTCTAGGGAGAAATATGACAATGTATGGATTATTGTTGTCTCCAAATTGGTATGATACCAAAGAAGAAGAAGAAAAAAACAATATTAAGAACTCCGCCTGACACCTACTTATGAACAATTTACCCCATAATACACGCAGTTAATACTAATAAATTAACTTATAATAAGGAGAAAGAGGTTTTACTTTCGAGATGGAACTGATGAAGGTAGACTCTGCAATGTCTGCAAAACTTTCTCAACTTCCCCATCACTTTTGTCACGACTCACTTCTCCTGGAACAGAATCCAATACCCACAGCTGTTCTGGATCACAAAGAAAGTAAAAAGAGTACAAAATATCTTTAAGTGCAAAGTGAACTGAACTTTCAACCACACATGATCATAAACTTTGACTCTCCTATATAATTTAAAAGTTAGAATTTACTAGCCACTGGCTAAGCTGGCCGTAATTGACGGCCATAGTCATATTAAAATGGAAAACCAATCTGAAAGATAATCAGTACTTTGGTTTCAATTCAGTTCATTAGGCAAACATAGCACTACGAAGCAATACTTTCTCATAAACCTAAACGGGGAAACTAAGCATGTTTCATCCAAAAAACCGACTAATCATGATAATGAAAATACAAGCCTACAAGTATTTGGCTGGAAAGTTTCAACATTCAGGGGTCAGGAACCACCGTGCTCAAAAGTCACATACACGGAGTCCCACCTGATGATCCCCAAGATGCAACACATGCAATCGAGTGAGAGCTCTCGGGACCAAAAATGCCGTACGAACACCCCAACCCACGAAAAACATATCATTTGATTCACACTATATACTCAACTTGCATCAAGCAAGCAAAAAAAAGTTTCCTAATTCTGTTCATTCCGCTAGAACGATCAGCTTACATTACGGTTCTGGTTAGTTATTGATAAAGCTCTTGAATTTACCTAACTAACTCATAAATGTTCCCAAATAATTCTACTTTCGGCACAAAAGAGCAAGTACAAGTGATGAACTTATGAGGGGAAGATCGAATACCTGCTTGGGTAGCTTAGCGGAATCGCCGTAGTCACCAAGGGCACAGCTCTCTGCAAATTGCAGAGCAACCTTACCGCCCATGGAGTGACCGAGAACAACATCGGGCCAGTCCCAACCCTGAGTCCCAACCAAATCAGCCAAATCTCGGGCCCCATTGAACAAATCATGAGGTGGGTTCAGACCTTCGATCTCGGCCGATTTCCCATGGTTCCTCAAATCCACAAGCACCAATCTCCAACCTGCAATTAGAAATTTGCTTCAATAAAAACGGAGAAATCAAGTAATCGAGACGATCAGAGGAGGGGGAGGGAGAGGGAGCGAGAGAGAGAGAGAGACCAGATGGGTCAGAGAGATGGGAGAGGAGGGAGCGAGAGAAAGTTCGCCAGTTTCTGGCGGAGCCCAGGAGGCCGTGGAGGATGAAAGCGGTGGAGCGGTAGGGTTGTTGTGGGTCCGCGTCGGAGGGTCGGAGCTCTTCATAGGCCAGGGTTTGCAGCGGCCGTCGTGAGATTGTGAATCGGGTCAGGAGGTGGTGAAGACCCGGTTTGTTTCCGAGGATCCGAGCCATGACGACGGCGAAAACTGTCAAACTATTCCAACTGTGTTGGAGGAAACAGGGGGATCAAATTATGAGCTGCACGACGTCGTTTCTACCTTCCGCGGGAATATCAACGGAAAGTGTTGGGAAACAAAAAACAATAATTTTGACAGCTGTGGGATTTGAACCCACGCCCTTTCGGACCAGAGCCTAAATCTGGCGCCTTAGACCACTCGGCCAAACTGTCCTATTGGTGCAAACCATACAGAGTTAATTATAATTTACTCTAATAGCCTCTCAGTTAATGTACAGAAGTGAGTCGTTTATAGATAGATACTATTAGCTTCCGGATACGACAGTCCTCCCACATGAAGGGGCTCATGTGTAGAGTCTCCTCACTAGGAGAGGGTCCATATGTTTGTATGCAAGAATTTCTCCTAATTAAGATAACATCGGTTTAAAAAAAAAAATTAATCGTGCAATACCCAATTGGACTTTTGAGTCGGGGCCACGACTCGAGGCTATTCATGCAAAAGCTCTCTCACTCCCACCAAAATGTAGGCCCCAGGTGTCCTACATGCCTTCCCGACTCCTTGCAAGAGAACTGCCCCATCGTCAAGAAATTTTTAGTTGTGATGGGAATATAAATGGTACACCAATAGAAGTGATAAGAAATTTTATTTTTTAAGTTGTTAACTTTTTAGCACATATATTTTGTGTACCGGTCACATGAAAAATCCTTCCCCATCGTCAGGCTTACCGAAGATTTCCTCCAATCGTAGCTCTCAGACGTGAATAGCCACTAATAGGGTTGGCATCTAAATTGCTCATAGAATACTTCTCTACTTTTATTTTATGTCAACAAAAAGCAACAAATTCAACAAGATTGGCATTTCTTCACAACCAAGTTCCCAAATCCATGTGTACGTTGTAACCCATTTCATCAAACACAACTTAAATTTGCGATGATTCCTAGTTTACATGAAGTACTCTTGCAATCAAGCCAACATTTGGCACAAGTTACACACACGAAGCTAATTTGAATGGCCAAATTTTGAAAACCATTCTATTCAACTTATTTTGCTTTTAAACAACTGTAACTTCATATACTATTTTGTGTCTTTGGGCAGTCGAAAATTAAGGGCTGGAATGGAAAATATTCCCGAGCTGCATCAACGAGGAGATAACACCGCTAAGTTATTCATCTGGTTTGCTTTAGTCAAATGGATCAATCCGCGGGTCATGCTCGCTTGCCATCATCATCCCAGTGCACAGGCATGTCGGGCACATGACCTAAGTGAACATGGAAGGTGATTAGTCCTAGTAGAGAGCGAAAGAGAGAGAGTTTGGCATTACAATAGATGAACAACACAAACTGCAAATCTCCTATCAACAAATGGAATTAAAGCCTTTTTGCACCAAATTCCTTTCGGAAGTTTGACAAATCATCGTAAATCCCATTATAATTCTTTCTTCCTTTTAAGCTCAGCACAAGTCAACCATCAGCAAACATGATACGATGAAATTGTCTAAAGATTTGAAGCAAGTGTAGCACGAAACAAATGATCAACAACACCAAGAGATAAGTGTGAAAAATTGCAGTGCGATCATATCTCATGGATAAACCACCTAGCAACAAATTTTGTACCTTTCCAGCACCAGAGCAATTTGGGCACCTCTCAGTTGTGGGCACTCGCAAAGGTTGGTCCGATGCACTAGATGCTGATATAGGATTGATGTTCAAGCACACTCCACTTGCAGAACATCTAGCACAGGCCAAGTACCCTGTCCATGTTTGACCAGACAAAATTACCAGATTAAAACCAAATTATGAGAACAATATAACATTAGAAATAACATTTATAACGAGAAATTAAAGAAAGGTAAAAAGCATCAGAAAAGTAACAAAGTTGAAAAGAATTTTAGTGATGAGAAAGGCAAGGGAGAACTTCCATAAAATTCGAAGAAACTAATAGCATTGTAAGAGCCAGAATGTAAGCCACTTTTTACTTGTTATTTTCATAAATTTATCAGCATACGCAAACTTCATAAAAACTAACTGCAAGAAGATATAAAAACAACCCCATTCAACAAATGATCCACTTATCCCTTAGAACTTTATCAGTTGGCACATTTCATTTGTGACAGTTTAAAACATACCAGTTCCATGGCAATATTTGCACCTTTTCTTCTCTTGCTGCTCAACATTGTTAGCTTCAATCAACATCAATGCTGAAATGACACCCACTGCCCCACCGGAGAAGGATGCCACAATAGGATCAACCTGACTGAAATCAAAATCAAACAAAAGGGCTTTCAGAACAGTAAGTAAGAAAATCCGTACTGGTTGCTTGAATTTCTAATTGTAATCAGGAAAAGAAAAAAAAAGCATGTTCAGTATATACCTTAATTGTAAAGGCAGATGCATGCTACGAATGAAATCTTCATACGAGGTACCTCCTATACCTAATTTTAGTTCCAGCTGTCACAGAGAACAGGTTGAGACATTTAACAAATATAACAGTGAAGAATTTTAAGTCTAACCATTAGGCACAAAACATGAACATCAAAACTAAGGTTCCTAATCCAATATGACCTCAACCAAAGACATCCTCTTTAAACAGAGGAACATGTAGCGTCACGCTTCAAGGGCCAGTAAACATATAAGCAGGTAAAGGGTAAAAAAATTGAGAATCCACCTTTACAAAAGTATACATGTATGGAGCCATCGGGAAATATTCACTATAAACAATCATCCATGCTTATAGACTTACCGATGGCGCAATGAGACCCCCAAATACAATTACACTAGATATCATAGATAAGCTTGTGAGGTAGAGCTGCTTCAACGTCTTTGGTGTCTGCATCATAACACATATCACACAGTGTCAGTTGAAATAAAAGGTAAAGTGATTGCACAACCACAGAATTCAGAAGAAAAATATCATACAGACACGAAAATTTTGGCATAAGAGCGCTTGTTTTAGTTGGACATTTAATTGGAAAGGTATTAGTTGGTGACTGTTGGCACAAGAAACGGACTCAGCAAGAGCTAAACAAAGAAACGTAACCATCTTATCAATCATGGACAATATTTCATTGTCAATTATCGTTTTCAACCCGCATGCCCCCTCTTGAAATATAAGGTTAGTATTTGTATCTAAACCCATATGTGCTTCTGATTTCTTAGCTAACTATCCAAATATCCCAACTTGTTTGAGGCCGTCGATAAGGGGCATACTTTAGGCAGTTAACTACATTGTAGATGACACTCACCATATGAGGGAGAAAAGGGATAGTGGATGGAATGTCAGGCATCTCATTTGACTCTTCCTCACAAGCCTCATCCATATCTCTCGCCATCCTTATCCGGTGCTGCACCCGCAATCTCCTTAGCTACACAAACCAAACATATATCAAACAAGAAGTTCACAATCCCCAAATTACTGAAATTTAAAAGATCAAACATTTATCAAACCCTTTAGAGCTATCTGCTTTCACCTCTTCCATGAGAAGAAAAATCTTGTTGCGCCGGCTTCTTATGTTGTCCTGAATTTCCTGCAGTTGCATCTGCACAAAGTCCTGCACCGTCTCCGGCCCTTCTATGATACAAAAAGTGCTGAGAGAAGAAAACAAAACATAGAAAATTCAGCATTTTTCTCGTCAACAAGACAGAAGGACCAAAATTAAATTTCAGGTTGATATTGCTAAAAAAGCGCTTTCTGACAGCAAAAGGGCTAAATGCTTTTGGCTCATAGAAGTGCTTTTCAGAGAAGAAATGCACCTGCTAGATGCTTCTTCATAAAGCACTTGGATTTTTAATCAAAAAATTAAAGGCACTAGGATTTTTAATAAAATTTTAAACGTATTTATAGTAAACGTGCTTTCTAGAGAAGCAATTCCAGACGGGCTTGATTACCTTGGCGTGTTATCGCCGGGGGATGATTCCTTGGAAGCAGAACAGGAAATTTGGGGACGCGGGGAGGTGAATTTGGACAGAGAGAGACGTCTAGGGATTCCATGGGAGGAGGTGGAGGAGGAAAGTAGGGTTTTGGCGGAAGGGGGAGGATGAGAAGTGAGTGAGAAAGAAGCCATTTTTGTAAAGGTTCTACCCTCTGCTCATCTCATCAGCCAAAAAGCAGAGAGAGAAAGAGAGAGAGAGAGAGAGAGAGAGAGAGGAAGGAGGGTTTTGGTGAGTGAGAGCCGAGGGGAGAGAGAGAGAGAGAGAGGAATCTTTGGGAGGTTTGAGTGGGCATCTTGGTGGAAGACGGAGACAGAAGAGACGATGAGGCTAATGGGTTATTGCCACGTCACCACATGCTTCCCTTTCTCTCTCTTGACCGTTAATTGTTACTTGCGTTCGTGGCAATTACCGCGCCGCTTATGCATCATCTTGTATTTTCGTTACACTAAAAAATCAACCGAAAGAAAGACCAGCAGAAAAGTCCAAGTTAGCTAAAATGGTTCCTATAAAACAATACGGGTCGGTAACATTTTGGTAACGTATACAATATTTGAGTTACGAGTATGACTTCAATACTACATATCTTGGGTCGTAAGAGAGGAGATTTAGTGTTCATATTCAAATTCATAACGCATCTTGGGCCGCAAGAGAGGAGATCTAGTATCCGTATTCATTTAGCAGTTAAATTTGATTTTCACAACTATTTAGATATTCTATTTTCAATCTCATTCATTCATTCATTCTCCTATCATTCAACAATACGTAGCATTTGAAGAAATTTCCGTGTGTTATTAGGTTTACAACTCCTTAAAGAACCCTAATTGCATTTGCAACTCCTCACTATTTTCTCCCAAACATACTTAAAAACGAAGCTACATGACAATCATGGAATCATCTGCAGTTCATTGTTTTCTCCAACAACAAAAACAGTGACTTGCTTTGTAGTTTTGGTCTGAAACTACAAAAACAAAGACACCAGAAGAAAAAACAACATAAACAACAGCACAACAACAACAGGAGGAGAAAACCATGTTCCAAATTCCCCAAATCCTTCATACAGATCATCAGCTTCCCAATCCAATACCTCTTTTCTGAACCTCTTTCCCTTCCCACTCCTCCCGCTTTCAAATCGTATGTGAGATAAAATGTGAGGAAAAACTTCCTTGTGAGAATCTTCTCCAATCAACAAATCTGAATGCCCGAAGCCCTCCACAACTACCCTTTCGTGATGGAATCCTGGCTGGTGCAACTTCATGTACTTATGAGCGAGGAAAGATGTGTGAGGAGTCACGAGGAGAGACCGCCCTCCGGATATGTAAAGCGTTGGGAGTGCCATTCTTTCTGGATGGATCAAATATGAGTTGCTGCCGTTGCTGTCTACTATGAAACCGGAGTTGCATATCTTTCTCAGGTGGGGAAATGCTGCCATGGGAAGTTTTGAAGAGCTTTGCTTGTTCAACCACTGGTGCATGGTGGGACTTATGTTTTTGTGCCAGAATGTGTTTCCGAAGATTCCTGAGAAAACTTCACATTCGTTGCAGGTGCATCTCTCGTAGCGGGGTATGAAGCGGGCTATAAGTTTCAGGAGGCTGTGGCGTAAGCTGACGGTTGACGTCTCCAACAGAGGAAGCGTCTTATCATTTCCAAGTATGAACATTGATATCTGCATATTAAAAGGAACTTTTGAGGCTCTCGCAGGTAAAAATTAATGTGAGCTTGCTTTATGATTTAATAATTTTTGAATTACTACAAACTTTATTTAATTCCTTCCTCCCCTTGTTCATAATAATTAATAAGTTTCCTGCTTGGTTGTATTCCATCCTAAATCAATAGAGAGAGAGATGGGTTGGGGGGGGGGAGCGAGAGTGAGAACTCACCGGCATCAGAGGAAGCCACATTTTAACTCTGGACCAAGGACTAAGCTTGAAGAACATTGAAGAATTGGTGCATGAGAGAGAAGCAATACGGGTTGCAGAGACGTGACCTCCCATGACAGCTATGTGTATGGCTAAGCCTCCGACACAGTGTGCAACTACATGCACCTTCACGCGCGGCCCATGCAACTCAACAATCTTATTAATTGCTGCAGAAAAAGTGAAGCAGGAAAACGCTCATTGACATACAATAGGATTAGTAAGAGTTAAGTACAATTACAGTAGGTGTATTTGGTCTTTTACCAGCAGCGATGTCAAATCTTGCAATATCTTCAATCGTAAAACTGTTTGACAAATTCAGAGGGTGCAATCGTGATTGCAGTAGCCATGTTTCATGCCCTCCTTCAAGCAGAGTTCTGACTAAATCATTTGGCTCCGTTGGCAGCCAGTAACTCTCAGTGGAGTATCCATTAAGAAGAAGAACTGGATTTAGTTGCTCATTTCCTTTAAGTTGTGGCAAAATATGGTGGCACTTCCATTGCCTACAACTGATATTGAATTCGTCTTCTGCATAATATATGGACAAGAAATTAGGAACTCTATAGCAGCAAGAAATGGACCAGAAACAGAAAACAAAAACATTTGCTACCTGTTTTTAATTCATGGAGAATGCCGCTCGGATAAGATTTAATTTGAAAATAGGATGAATCTAAATCCTTGTGGTTCCCTCGAGGTATCTGTAATATATAGGTTCTCAAGAGGGCCCCTAATAGATGGCAAAAAAACCTTCCCCTCTTGTTTCCTTCAAGGCTTATGAAACTCTTAAGAAGCTCCTTCATCGAAATGCTAAGCTCCCCTTTTAAAACAACCTTCTCATCCTTCGAGTTTTTCTCCGCAACTTTCACGAATGTCACATGCAGTGTTGTCATCTCCCTCCAAGCATAATGCAGAAAGATAAGGATTCATTATCTTTCTTCCCTCGAGAATATATCTGCATCAAAATCGTTGTGAGAAAAATTAAAGTAAGAAAATTTATTGAACTTTCAAGTTTTATATACCTTGAACCAGTAGAAGCCCCGAGAAGAAGATGGTAATGCATATACTGTGTGTAAGGCGTTCTGCAATCTACTTCGCAAAAATTTACGTCCCCATCTAAGACATGTAAATCATCCTTCTCAAAGGCTCTAAGTTTCACATGCCCTCCAACTTTCCCTCTTAAAAGGGAATGGGCTTCTTGAGTACCCAACTTCTGCTCATTCGGTCCTTTCTGGTCTTGAGGGTTCATCTTCATTCTGAGATAAGCTGCGCACGGCATACCCCCAACGTAACCTCTCATTGTTTCTTTGACCAAGACCTCTGATCTCTGACCGTTAACCATAGTCTTATCAGTGAAGGAATCCGGACCTTGGTTAGCAATTTTAGGAACAGATGCAAGACCTTCTCTGTACATTAGAGCATCCTGCACAAGGTTCTTGCTTATGTGCTCAGCTGCCGTCGCAATAGTAAGAGAAGGATTTATTCCAATAGAGCATGGGATCAAAGAAGCATCACATACATAGAGGCCGGGATGTACAGTGATAGGCGACACCGGATCAAAAACCTGCCCATTGGAGTTGCAAACACCGTGTGAAGGATCTGAAGATGCATTGCACCCTCCTAAAAGATGAACTGATGCACTTCGGTATTTTGACATAAAGAGAATTCCTCCTAATTTCTTAGTGAGCTTTTGGAAAGCTGTAATTTTTCGTGGGAGAAGGGAATCATGAGGCGGGGTAAAGCATATTTTGTTCGTGCCCTTTTCCAATGTGATCTTACCATCACTCTCATCATATCCCAATGCAATAAGAACTATTGCTTGGGTTGCTTTACAACCTATGATATGCTTTATCTTGTCTATAATCCCATGAAGGAACCAGTATCCAGTAGGCCATCCGTAGGTTGTAATTCCTTTAAACAGCAGGTACGGATACGATGTTGGAAGTACAGCACTCTGTAACAATGAAGACTACATAAGAGGTTGATGAATCCAAATCCATCAAACCAGAAAAAAAACATTTTTAAACTTATTTCTTCAGAGATTAACATTTATATACACGCATGCATACTTCATATATATATGTAACTCATTTTCCACAAAAGCCAGATTACAGCTAGATTTTCCCACCAGATATATATATGATACATCGTTGATTACGTAAAAAATTAAAAGTCATTTGTGACCAAACCAATAGATTTACATGATTGAAAAACTGAAGTCAATTAAGTTTATAGAAGTTTCTGAACCTGTATTGTAAAGCCGAGCGAAGAAGTGTAAGAGGCAGAGATGGATGGCCCAGGCCTTTCTTCAAATGGTGTCTTAAACATTTGCTTTCTGTCTAATCCGTAACCATTCAGTGGTGCTGGGCTCCCAGCAAGATAAGCCACAGTATTTCCATTGCAGCTGAATCCAGATCCAAGTGCTTCAGAAAGTTTTAGTCCTCTCATTCTTGACTGGTAGAGTATTTTAGTGGTGCCAAAAACTCCCGCTGCGAAAAACAAGTCTAGAAATTGTTAAGAGTCTTTGTGATTAAAATTTTCAGAAGATACCTAATTTGATTGTTTCTCACCTGATAGGATTACGAAATCAGAGGTTATGTAATCAATCTCATTCAAGTAAATAAGCCATCTTCTATTTTTTCTACCGCTTTCTCCTTTGTATTGGAAGTTTTCATGCACGTTTCGAACCACATACTGTACTTGACATTCTGTTTTAACTATGCAGCCTGCCTGCTTCACAAGAAACACTGGTTTTAGTGGAGAAGGTACAGTTAAAACTTAAACACGAACATCTCTTACATCCTAAAAAGGTCGTACCCAGTGCACAAGGCTCCCGCTTTACGCAGGGTCTGGGAGAGGTGAATGTCGGCTAACCTTACCCCCATTTATGGAGAGGTTGCTCCCAAATCTCTTACATACTAATGGATATTTTTTTTTTTTTTTTTTTTTTACAAACTTCATTGACGTATTAGATAACGTAAGACATGCCTGGATTGCTGAACGCAGATAATTTTTGTCAGTAGAACTTTTGGCATTAAAAGGACATCCAGAAAGACAGTTTCCACAGGCTAAGCAGCTACCCATTGCATCATTTTGTGGTTCTTCAAGGTCAAAATTCATGCTTAGCTTCACCGAAGTCTCAAAAGCTTCTTCAATCTCTCCAATAGCAACCTCTTCCAAGACTTTTGCAGCAGGAAACTTGACAGGAATGCTTTGTGCTTTCAGCATGGCTGCTGCAGAAGCTTCACAGTTATCCCAATTCCTTTCCCAATCCTTTGGCCATTTTGGATTTCGTCTAGCACGAGCTGGTGCTGGAACCAGAACTCCTGCATTCACTAGTGAACCCCCACCAAGTCCACACGCCATAGCTGCTAGAGAATCATTCTGCTCATATACCTAGACTTTCATCATAACAGATGTATATTACACCTTGCCCCGATATGAATGGTTACGGAAAAACTGTATATGTCGCTAAATTATAGTAAAAAGTAAAAAAAACTGGTATATATACACAATAGTAAGCAAAAGTGACATCACAAAACAAAGTACATACAATATCCTGCGATTGACATGGTTCAAAACAAACAACAAAATACAGAATCGCGGCAGATATTGCCCGAGAAAAAAAGAGGAAGAGAGAATAACCTGGAACAAAGCATCTTTTGGTCCAAAGCTAATGCCTAGGTTCTGGTTCTCCATCCTCACAGCAGAAAATATCTTCGAGCTGTCAGTTGGAAAGTCCTTAGATTCCCATCTCCGGCCTTTCTCAACTAGACACACCCTTACCCCTGCCATAGACAACCGACAAGCAGCAACAGAACCGCCATAGCCAGACCCCACAACAACTGCATCATAACCATCTTCTTGTCCATAACCAAAACTAACTTCCGATTCTTGCTCCTCCATTTTCTTTCAAGTTCCAGATCTAGAATTCGGGACAATTTCTTACTTAAGGTCAAAACGAAGTGTGAGAATTTCAGTTTCAGATTCAAGATACCTTATAGCTGAGGGTACTGCCAACATGGAAAGTACTGGGTATCAAATTTGTTTCCTAGTGTGATTATTTAATAGGTAAATGATTTCAATCACGTTTTAGCATGAAGAAACCAATGAATCCAGTTAAGAAAGTTGAGAACAATTACCTAGTAATAAACTCCAAGACAATGCAACCTCGTTAGAACATTGAACATCCAAGATTACAGCAAATATTGTGTAGTCTAGCAGCACAAAGGACACAAATCGAAAGACTATAAAGTCAGAGTTTAAAAGTCGTTTAGTCATCTGTCAGCTAGCTAAAAAAGCACATTCGGTCTATTTCTGGACAAATCCCTGATCATCTTAATCTGCATTGAACTTTGTTGAAGCAAACAAGGCTTGCATTGGACCACTAAGCATACAAATTGAACAAGAAACAAGGACTTTCTTGTCTTGGACTTAAAGAAGTAAGAAAATTTGCATTACATAACAAAGTGGAGATAATCTCAACTCAAACATATGTATAAAAATCTTGTTTACAGTCTAGCGATTTGGACCGACTTCTGAAGGGCCTGCATAAGATTTCTCATGATCCTTGGTTCACCAGGAGGTGTCTTGTCCTTCAAGGGTCCGCTTCTGACAGCTCGGAAAATAGGGCCAGAGCCGTCACTTGGTGGGAAAACCAAGCAGTCTATGTACACAGGGACCTCAACCTCCGCATTCCCGATTGTAACAAACCCCAATCTAGTCCCACCTGCAATTTTGTCTACCTGTTCCATTGCAATGTACAAGAAAACATTCAGTCCATTGCTAGGGTCTCAGTGCCATTTTCATAATGTATGCCAATGTGTCCATGCAACCGGAACCTTAAACATGGAAGTCAACATGGCTAAGGGAATATAAGTCAAATAAACTGATTTCCGCATACTCATTTTTCGTTTATTTCTGACATATTGGATTGGATAAATTTGTGATTTTTGTGAATCATCTTTATAAATTGGGTGTTATAAACATAATGGAATTTTATTTTTATTCAAGTTTATTGCATATAGCGATACCTCCAACGCAACACCTAATACGACTTCAGACTTTGAATAAAATAAAGGAAAATGAAGAAACATAAATAAACAGAAAAAAAAAAAGAATTGAAGTGAACTATATTATGTACCTTCAAAGGCATATCAAGAGGCAGGTTGGCTCCTTGGCAGAGACTATTAGCCCACTGTTGAACAAAACGCAGCGTTTAGCACATTGGACCAGAAAAATGGGAAAATACAGAAATTTTAAAAACGCTAGAAGGAGGGTTCGAACCTCCGACCTTGTGGTTAACAGCCACACGCTCTAACCAGCTGAGCTATTCCAGCTTTGTTGTTAGAGTATGCACTTTAATGTTTAAATATACTTTATATTACCTGGAATAGTAGAATTTGGAATCTGGGAAGATCGGTATCCGAGGGCAATTTCATGGTCCCGAGCAAGACGCCGTCTTCGGCGTCGTCCGAAGGGATAAGGCTGTCCTTTTCCTGAGACGACGCCTTGGCCACCGCCGTTTGATTTCGGTGGCGGTAGTGACGGCCGGAATGCAAATTAAGGTTAGGAAAGAAGCAGCAGCTGGTGGCGGTGGTGGATACTAGTGGACAGGAAGCAGCCAGCGACGGAGGAGGAGGGGAGAGTAGCACGTGGGAACTGACACGTGGGGAGTGGACGCGGCGGAGCGAGCTCATCACTCCTCCCGCCACAGCGACAGAAATGGGCATGGGTGGCTGAGCAAATGAAATCTGTGAGGGGGTTTTAGAATTGATGGGAAAGAGGGAAAGGGATTCGTTGGAGGAATCGAAAGTGTAGAGGATATGCTGATATGCTGCTTTCATCTTCTTTAACGAGACGGGAATGGTTGGCGAGAAGCGCCTCACCAAGCTTCTAATCATTTCATGCCATATCAGCAAATGTAGGCCACTTGGCATTTTTTTAACAGAAAATTGTAACAACGGGCCCTCAAATTTATCCCAAAATTCATGATTATTGTTCCTTAACTCATCAAAACGTGTAATTATGATCATTTTCGTCAACTCAGTCAGAATTCTGTCAAAATGAGTCATGTTGGGAGGATCGTTATTACAATTTGTTTAAAGTTGAGGGATTATTGCTCAAATTGGGTTAAGGTTGAGAGATCATTACGACAATTTTTCTCATTTGATTTTTCATATTTGCCCCTTAGTTCAACCTCACGTGTTTGCCACGTGACTTATTTTGGCGGAAGTTCTTAACAAAGTTAACGAAAAGAACCATAACTACACATTTTAATGAGTTAAGAGACCAGTGGTCTCAAATTTTTAGTTAAATGGTACAATTTCCTCCTTTTTATGTGAAATTAATGAGTTGTTTGATAAGTATTTCGTTTTTAGTTTATTATTTTTTTGAAAACTGATAAATGAAAATTCGTTTGATAACTACTTTACATTTTCAAACCCAAAACTGAAAGCTGAAAACTAAATTTTGAAGACTCAATAAAATAGTTTGCATTTTCTAGTTTTTGAAAACTAAAAATAGTTATCAAATGAGTTTTCATTCTTCAATTTAAAAATAAAAATTAAAAAAAATTAAAAATTAAAAAAATAGTTACCAAACGGTTCTTAAACTGATTATTTTCGAATTTTAATGACAATTCTCCTTTACCATTTCTCAGTGAAAAAGGATCATTAGCCCAAAAGAAGTTCATACAGCTAGGAGACAAATCGATGTGATTTCAAACCATTAAGGTGAATGCGAGAAAATAAAAATATGAGAAAATTACCAATTAGTAAAACAAGATTCTAATTTCAACGGACAACTCGGAGAATTGGACATTCGAAAGCATACCTGGCATTTCAGACCCGACCTGTTAATCCGATACAACCCGTTAAAATGAGTATTCGGATGAATGTTTAACGAGTTGAATGGTTAACAGGTTAACCCATTAAGCACCCATTAAATAATGAGTCATTTTGGGTGAACGTGTTAACCACCCGTTAAATAACGGATCATTTTGGGTGAACCTGCAAAACCCGTTAACCATCTGTTAACACTCATTATTGAAGGCTTTTGTGTAATTTCAATATTCAATAATGAAACCCTCACTCTGTCTCGCATGTTCTGGCTCCCGTTCTCTCTCGTCTCCCTCATCTTCTTCTCAGAAATTACCACTCTATCCGGTCTCCTGCTGCAGCATCTTTAGCTACCTGTAATCTCAACCACACCAGAAACTTCCTCTCCTCCAAAGTCCAAACCCCACTTCAATTCCATCTCTGGCTCTCCCTGCACCTTCCCCACCAAATCTCGATCATCAACAATCGTTTCCATGGCGCCCCAAAAGAAGGAAATTACGTTCACTCTTGCTCTGTAAATTCTATTTGGCTGCCAAGAAAGTATCTTTATATAAATTTACGAATACCGTTTTGTTTTTTGGTTAATTTACAAATACCCTTTTGTTTGTTTGCTTCGTAAATGTGAATTTCGTAAATTTCCAGGTGAACAAGCTCAACAGCGGCTGGGAGAAGAAGTGGTACGGAGCGGGAATCTTCTACGAAGTGGCAGAGGAAGTGGAAGTCGGCGTCTTCAAGAAGCTGGAGAAGCGGAAGGTCCTCAGCAACGTCGAGAAGGCTGGGCTTTTGTTCGCGTAGGAGCTCGGGGTCACCCTATCATCGATTGAAAATAAAAAATAAAAATGCTAAACTGGTGAAACGAGTGAAACAAATAATCCGTTAACTTAACGGATTAAGTTTGGATGACCCATTAGTTTAACGGGTTGAATTTGAATGATCCGTTAAATTAACGGATCAGGTTAAACTCGACCCAAATCCAGTAAACCCGACCCGTTTACAGGTCTATTCGAAAGCATATCAAAATGTGTGACTTGCCCTGTAAGTACCAGTGCAAGCAACAAATCTTTTCAATTAGTTCTCAATTTGTACAGGCGGTAAGTGAAAAAGTTAAAAAAAAAAAAACAGATAATAATCCACAAGAAGTACAACACCGGAATAACAGAAGAAACTCCTGAAGATCGAAAGTTTTTACAAAGAGAGAGCCGCCCTACCGTCTATACGAACCAAGTGAAGTATACTGCTCCAGTTTATATTCACTCAACTAAGCCGGGGAGCAAGATTCGAGCTTAGGGAGGAGACTTCGCCAAGCGTCTGCAATACTTTTTGCCAGGCGTGCCTGTCCCTTGGCAAACTCATGGAAAGCAACCCCCATGTCCGTTGTTTTTTGTTCTTGAAAGTGAACTATCTCTTCATTCATCCGTCGCACTATCGTTTCAAATCTTCTGGTTGCTTCCTCACCCTCAGCCTTCAACTGCATCACAAAACCAATCTTAGTCAAATAGTGAAGATGCCACCTAACATGTGTAAACCATATACGATTGCATCAGCTGACTTGCCTCCTTGTACTCGTGCTCAGCTTCGCCCACCCTGTCCGATCTGGTCAACATGAGTTTGTCACTGCAAACCAATCAACACTTATTAGGCCAATCAACAATTAAAGACAAAATGAGCGCCAGAGAGTATTTATATCAAAATGGTGAGTGGAATCCAACATTAGTTGAATCAAATGGTCCCCATCATGCTTTTTCACAAATCAATTTTTTTCTCCTTAAACTTTTATTTTTTTTATTAACTAGAAACCTAAATATGATCACAGGTGCTACTTGTCTGTGTTTTCAGTATACAAGAGGCTAGCGTAACGGAAAATCCAGACACGCAGAGAAACATAAAACAGTTGGCCAGATGCATACAGATTTATCTCCTTCAACTTAATTGTTTCGGCAAGTTCACACTGTTGCCTGAAGGCATTTGCTCTCTCAGCTATTGTCGCCTGTTTCAACACACATAAGTAAAAGAATCAGCTTTTATTTTATGACAAATGAAGACTACCAGAAGGCCACAATCAATGAGAAAACTTTAACCAAGGGCAATTCCAGGAAGAGCTTCTATTACATATGAACCCAGAATGGTAGGAAACAAATTCCATGAGTCCAATGCAGAATGGGAAGGATAAATATTCAAATAATAATTTGTGTCCATGAATTTAGAAGCTAAAGTTATATCCATCGCAAAAAGAGAAGAATGCAAGTGTAAAGAGTATAATCTAAAGACATGTATCAAGTCAAACACTTCTCACCTTAATAGATTGCACGGCACGGACATAATCTTTCAACGGTTCTTCAAAATTCATTAACAGTTGTTGGGCCTACAAAGAGACGAAAAGATATGGTACCACCATAACATATAATGATAAGCTCTTATACAAAATGGAAAACAAAAGGAATGCATGCAAAGAAGAACAAGCAAACACACCATAGACACTAGAATGCCAATGATATATATCGAATTCTCAATTCAAGCCTACCTCCTTTTGCAGCCTAATTGATAATGTCTCTGACTTCGCCCCAAGCTCGGTAAAGGCCTTTCCAAGAGCATTACCTTCGGAAGCTCCTAGGAGCTTGGCTGCTTTCCCAAAATCTGCTAGAGACTGTCCCAGCTCTGCATAAATATAGTTATAAAGAATCACATTCTAACCACATTCAGAATTCAGAATAAGGAAATGCAGCCATAAGGCCCCTACTAGAGAAATTCAAAAGAAAAAGGTAAAGAAAGAACATTGAGCCTTCAAATCGTCATTACCTCTGTGCCTCTTGACAAGACGGTATGCATGCTTCTGGGCTTCAGCCAAGTGGTTTTCAAGCTCAAAGATGTAGTGTTTCAACTTCTCATATTCAGGATTTGACTCTTCCACCGGCTTTTCCTTTCCGAGAACAACATCGCTCACTTTAGATTGTACATCCTGTTAAATACAGAACTGCTGTTATTGTACAACCAGATCAACTCTCAAAAAGGAAAGATACTAGTTTAAGTGACCTATTTAGTTCAACAAATACAATAAATGCGGAAGACATCATGCAGCGGAAAGGATTGCCTGTTATGTTTGCACTTGACAATACACTAAAGCATTTAAACAAACAAAACCAGGAAGGAAAAATAAACTTGAAGGACTTCAGAAAACTTCAACTTATTAATAAGAATATTAATTGTCGAATTGCAATTGAATTATGTGGCATTCAAGACAGACATTGGAAGGAGATCTCTTCCTCAAATATTCTCCTACATTTATTTCCATGTGATACACGTTCCATTTTCTATTTGGCTAGACAATCCAGAACGCAGATCATTAACCTCATAATGAAAATAGATTATAAACAACTTTTCCAGGGTTGAGAATAATTGTTAGTGTGCACTATTTTTCACACTGAATACAGTGACAATTTTCTACAGGTTTCCAGTACCTGCATAACAGGATTTAACTGTTCAACCTTCCCACTACAGATTATATATCACAGAGACGGAAGGATAAGCAGAACAAGGTACCGATCATTTCTATTTCATGAAAAATGCCTTTTTAGGGCAATGAAATATCCCATGGAAACAGTTAGTCTTAAAAACACTATGCAGAATCAAAGTTACCTTGAAGATTTGCATCAAATCTGCTGGCTTCTTCTTAAAGATACCAGTCTCGTGAAACCTTAACCTTTCCATTGTCTGAAAAAAGCATATAAACACGTCAACTATTCTAAAGTCCAACAGAGGTGCCTGATAAGTTATTGACTTTCATAGTAGTGACATGAGAATAACTCTGTGACTCAAGGCATCACTTTAGAAGCACCACCTCTTCATCTGCTTGTAAGAAGGTTCTCAGATCCTCACTTTGCTGAAGTTCATGATGTGAAGCTATCCGATTAACAAATACATCCAATGCTTGACGCCTCATCTCAATAAATTCAGCACTGAAACGGAACTTTTCTGCATTAAGGACTAAAGTTAGTCACAGTGATAGTTGTTTATTTGGAGTGATTCCAAATTCCAATTCTTGGTGCAAGGCCAAGTGTGCTGGGCCCCTGGAGGAGTCTAGTTTATCTTTTATTTTCGTTTGGTTTTAAGTTTTCTGTGTTTTCACTTCCGCTAACCACTCTAATTTCCGCTACCGAATTCTATCCTACACACCAAAAAAGGTCGTACCCAGTGCACAAGGCTCCCGCTTTACGCAGGGTCTGGGAGAGGTGAATGTATCCTACACACCAACAAAAAAAAAAAAAAAAAGAGAGTGAATTTTCTTAGGGTTGGCTCCACCTTGTCACTATCACAATTCCTTCATTCGCAATTTGAATCAACAACTAAGATACCTATACTAGCTAGTTAAGGCCTACACATGAAGATACAAGTACATAAGTTTAGGCATGACAAAACAATGCACATGACGAGGTGAATATAGCATTTTCTACTTTACAAGTACAAAAGAGTTCTAAGAAAAAGGGTATAGCTTTGTTGTTACCTACAGCACTCTTTTCTGGAAGAGGTGGAATAAAAATTCCTTTATACTTTTCAAAGAGACGATCCCGTAGCCAAACAAAATCACTGTAACGTCGAATAACAATCTTCTCCGGCCCTTGGTATTCAGGAAAATTTGTCTGAAAAAACAAACATAGATAGATGTGAATACTCAAGTAGAATTTAACCATTATTATTGCATCAAAATAGACACAAAAACAAGACTGAAAGGAGCAAATTTACAGATCACATGCTCATCCAACTCATTAAACACTCAAGCTCAAAAGATCCAATGAAAAACATCATTCATTTGCACACATATTATAACGAGAATCGCTGATTCATGGACAATTGGACCCCAATCTAATAAGGCAGATTCTTGTTCGCTTGTTTCATATTAATTAGCAACGACGCCCTAGGTAAAAGCTATGGTACATAAAGCTAGAATAGTTATCAATTCGCAGTGCATTTTGAATGACCGTGGAAATACAAATTCTAATTTTCTTTCTTTCGTTGCCCAGGTACCCCTTTTTTTTCAAATTTCCTTGTTTCTAAGGCCTATTCTCATTAAATAAACAAAATCCCCTAACAAAGTGAGAATTTATATCTTCCGTACACTCTGAGCTAAAACCAACCATATAGTTACTGTTAATTACGCAATCAACCCAATCACAGGGACCTTAACCCTAATCAAATCAAAGCCTACAATCAATAACAGAAATTGAGAGCGAAATGACGAAATTACCTTGGTGATCACTCGGTAGGAGATGTATGCCTGGACGCCATTTCCCAATTTCACAGGATCAGTCACTGAGACTGAGAGGTACGGCTGCGACGACGGAGATCTAGGGCTCTGCGACGGCCCCGATATGCTTCTCTGCTGCTCCATGCAAACACAATCAAACGCCAACAGAAACGAAGATTTCATCTTACGAGCAAATCATCAAAACAAAGACCCAACAGAAGAAGACGAAGAGGAAGAGATGAATGGCAGGTTCGTAATTACCGTGGTAATCATGGCGGCGTTGTGATGAAGGTCGGGTCGGGTCGGGTCGATGAAGAAGATGGGGCGAGACGGAGCTCTGCGAGATTTCAATCTGATAGTCAACCAGAGCGTAAAGCGGTGGAAGTGGGAGCGGAATTTTCTAAAGTGCGCCGTGTGTGCACCGCGCCCTGTTCCGTGCAGTCGACGCCAGGGAAATGATCAGTTGGATGTCTTGCTGCGTAAATGAGTAAGAAGAAGAAAGTATTGCTTGTTTATTGGCATTGCTGAATAAGTTTTTTGTTTTTGTCAAAAGGTAAAATTTATTACCAACCACCGTAATTACAAAAGAAGAGGTCCAATTACATGAAAAGCACAGAAGAAGATATGGATCCTCAAAACAAAGCCCAAAATAAAGTTTCGAGCCCAGAAACAGGAAAACCCAACAATCTTGCTTGAGTTGCCACCACCAAAGCATCGTCGAGAAACAGAGATCCAGCCATCCAAATACGCAAAAATGATGGAAAAGACGACTTTAACAACTTCCTCAAAGCACCACATAGATCGGAACAACAACCACAAACCAAAGAAAGCTAGTGAGATATGACCCACTAGGAATTAAAGTCACTGAAGGAGAAAAAAAGCCACTAGGGATAGAGTCATGGGAGGTGATGGTGTGAACACCTGCGTCCGAGCTCTACACACTTCTCGGGAGAATCACGTCAAAGCGCGTTGAAGGAGAGTGACTGCAGATCCGTAAATATTTGGGGTGGAGGAAAGCCGGAGCCAGGTGGGAAGGGTAGGAAGAGGAAGGATTAAAACTATTACAATTATGGGTAAATTACATAGTACCCCTCAGGTTTGAGATCTATTACAACCACATACAGCGTCTTTAAAATATTTCACTTTTATACATCATGTATCATTTTATTTCAAAATAATACATCCCTTAGATTTTATGTCCATTAATCTGTTAAATGCTAACATGGCTACCACATTTGTACTGATGTGGCTGCCACGTGGTAAAAAAATATTTTTTTATACATTAAAAATATTATAATATTAACCCAATTAAAAAAAAACATAAAAACCCGAACCCAAATCCTCTTTCTTCCCCCTCTCCTCTCTGCAACTCCCATTTACAAAATCCCTTTCCACTATCCCTCACCCACTCCCCAGAGACCTCCCCCCAAGTGACCCACATCCTTATCCCTAACCTAGAACCCAAAAACCTACAACAAGAAGAAGAAGAAGAAAAAGAAGAATAGGGAGGAAAAAAAATAAGCCATAGTTCGTCCCCCCCAAAACCTGCAAGAAGAAGAAGAAGAGGGAGAAAAAAAAGCCTCAGTTTACGGGAAGGTCGCGGGGAGGGGGGAAGGGAAGTGGGTTGCGGGTCGCGGCAGGGTCGAGGGGGGGAAGGGAGGTGGGTCGCAGGTCGTGGTGGGGCGGGGGGGGGCAAGGGTTCTGGGCTTCTTCTTCTTTTTGTTTTTTGCGGGTGGGGGACAAACTGGGTTTGGGGATTTCTTTTGTTTCTTCTTCCTCCCTCTTCTTCTTCTTCTTTTCGTTGTTGCAAGTATGTGGGTCGCTTGGGGTGGGGGGGGTAAGGTCGCTGGGGGGGTGGGTGAGGGATAGTGGGAAGGGATTTTGTAAATGGGAGTTGCAGAGAGGAAATGGGGAAGAAAGGGGATCTGGGTTCGGGTTTTTGTGTATTTTTTTTTTGTTTAATTGGGTTAATATTATAATATTTTTAATGTATAAAAAAAAATTTACCACGTGGCAGCCACGTCAGCATTTAACAGATAAATGGACGAAAAATCTAACGGAGGTATTATTTTGAAATAAAATGGTATATGATGTATGAAAGTAAAATGTTTTAAAGACGTTGTATGGGGTTATAATAGACCTCAAACCTGAGGGGCTACTATGTAATTTACCCTACAATTATTTATAGGAATGGGAGTTTCGAACCCAAAATTTATGGGTAAAAACTCAACACCATATTCACTAGGATATTGAACCACATGCACTCATTACCTAAACACATATTCTAGAAACTTTCATTTGTAAGGTTGTAAAAGAGCTTAGTCAAATCGAATCATTATGCTCAAATTTGTAATTATTCTAAGGAAGGAAATTATACCTATGCTAAAACCCGGTGGGAAAACCACTATTAACAGTGTGTTGATTGTCCTACCCCTCAATTTCTTCACGTTTTTGGGCCTTCTTAGGGATTCTCACTGAATTGGCGGTTTTACCCTTTTCCTCATTTTTGTTGTCTCGTGTCGCTGGAGGTGGAAATACGTTTTTCATTTTCTTGGTTGGGCTTTGGTTTCCTGATGATAAGCGAACATCGAATTGACAGTGCCTTTTTCCCTTTCTCTCTTACTTTTGTTGTTTCCTTTCACTTTCACTTCATTTTGGAGCTTTGGCTTTAAGACGGGATGTGTGTTTTGTTGCTTCTAAATTTGGTTGGTCAATTTTCTTTGTCGTTTATTCTGTTTTTGTTTGGACCTTTGGCTTTTCTTTTCGGTTTCTGTTGTTGCAGGAGTGTGGTTTCAGTGATGGGTTTTCAACTTTCGTTTTTTTAGCCGTTTTGTTAGCACTTTTCGATTATGGACAGGGATGTTTGATTTTTTTTTTTTTGTTGTTTGTTTGTTAGTCTTTCAGCAGGCTATGACTTTGTGTTTTTGTTTGGTTATTTTTGCAACTCTTCAACGACTTTGTGGTCAAGATTTGAATGGTTCTGTGGTCACGATTTCCAGTTGCAGCAGTTAGGTTTTTTCTCAAGTATTAGTTTTTTCTGGTGGTCACAGTTTATCCAGTGATGCGGGTGTTGTATTTGGATTTTTTGAGTTCTCTTTTGATTGTTTTGGTCAATTTGTTGCTTAATTATTTTGTTGTAAAGCGTTTCTACAATGTTCAGTTGCTCTGTAAACATTTAAGATTGATTTTACTCTTGAAAGTTTATAGCTTTTGTTAGTTAACATAAAACCAGGTTTTGATTGTTTTTTAGGATTTGGATAGTGTTCTTTTTAAAACTGAAACGGCCATGTGATTTCTTCTTTCGATTATTTGGTTTTGTTGGGTTGTCTTTTGATTATTTTAAGTGATCTATTGCCTGATTATTTTGTCACTAAGCACTTATGCGTGGTTGAGTTTCTCTCTAAAGATTTAAAATTAGTTTTTCTCTTCAAAGTTTACAACTTTTGTTGCCTGGCATAAAATCAAGTTTTGATTGTTTTGGAGCATTTGGATAATCTATGTTGATGTTGTGTTTCTTTTTGGACAATAATTTTTTGTGGCATTATTGAAAGTTTATCAGGTGATGTGTTTGTTTAAATTGGATGAGTGCAATTTTGTGCATGTTAGTTATTAATTTTAAATTTCGGTATTTACCTGGGTTGGATAATTATATGACATTTTTTGTAGTTTTAATCTTGATGAATGGTGTTTGAGCATGGAATTGGCTGTTATAAATGATGTTGTGGTTCGTGTATTGTTGGTGGTATTCAATTGATCTTTTTTTTTTCCTCGGTTTATCATTTTTTGTTATGGTATTTTTTTTGTGTTTGTATAGAATTGAGTCTTGACTATTCTTTTGTGTTTTTGTTTAACAATTTATTCAATTATTTCATTTCTTTTTTAGCTTATATTATGTTTTGATCAGATGATGTTCAAGTTTTTTGAGTTTTTTGTCTACACTATTTGTGAATTTATAGACCTTGAATTTCATTTGAGCAGTTTAAATGGAAGATCAAGGTCCAACTCCTCTTAATCTTTGTATTCTTTGATTTTCAATTGTAGAATAATATATTAGTTTTCATGCTACCTCTATGCAATGTGTAAATTTTTGGGTGCATATCCATTGTCTTTAAACTCTTAATTACACTGATGAATTGACTCTCAGTACTTACTATTCATGTTATTCTTTGATGTTTGTCATCTATGTCTATTTTCATATTATTTCAAGTGTTAGGTATATCAACTCTTATATTAACTCTATGTAATATGTAATTTTTTTTATGCATATCCATCAGCTTTAAAATGTTAATTACAACAATAAATTGGCTTTGACTATTCATTATCTCTGTTAGTTTTTAATGTTTGTTATTTGCATCTATTTTCATTTTATTTCAAGTGTCAAATTCAGCATCATTTAATTATTCATAGTGTGTTTGACAATTTTTTTTTCTTGCCTTTCCCATGTTTGATTATCAAGCAATAAGTGATTAAGGCGTCTTCTTATGAGATAGACTATTAAATAATGTGCATGCTACGAAATTATGAATTTTTGCACCAACAAAATGAGGGCCAGTATCGAGTGGTGCCGCATGACACTCACGTTGTGTTCATTGCTAAAACAATTTTTAACAAGTTGACAAGTATCTTTTTGCCTATTCCACGCCAAAGATTCTTTTTGCTAGACTATAATAGGTTGTATCCTCGGTTGGACAAGCTTGATGTCCTTACAGGTGATAATATGTATATACATATATGTGTGTGTGTGTGTGTGTATGTGTCGTAGAATGGATTAGTATATATTTTATGAAACATTTGTTGGAAATTATATATTATAATATGAAATATTGTAATATATAATTTTAATAATTGAATGGAAAATAGTGTTAACCAATTTCTTAGAAAGGTTATGTTGTTTAGGTGTATTCCCTTGATAAGTGGTGTATACTTATAGATGAAAAGTTACATCTCTTTAATAAGTAGAAATTGGATTCTATATAAACCCATGAAACCATTGGTATTGGACATAGAAAATTAGAGTTAATTTTTACTCTTGAGAAATAGGGTTTCCCCACTTTGTTTCTCTCATGCTTCGTGTGTCAAATTCCAAGTCGTGTATTGAGAGTAAGGAATATATAAAGTTCGCTGGAGTCCGAAGATTGAAGTGCTTTGACTTCAGATTATAAATTGTTGAATCCTGGGACATGGATGCATATCGAACTACAAGCATAAGAGTAGGCGCAAAATTCTATCTTTAAGACATTGCATTTATGCAAGCCTCAATCTCTAAGTTTGTCAGTTTTTCTATCTTTATCTCTAGTTGTTTATATTAATCTCATATATAATTGATGTTGTGAATTTCTTTATGATTATTATCATTGGAATCATATTGTTATTTTTCATATTTTCTAATATTGTTCCAACAACATTTTGTTGTGGCCTAATTATGTTTCGTTCTTTTTTTTTTTTTCAAATTTGAAGACATTATTGGTCACATGGTTGGAGTC